TAGAAATATTGCTTTATTGTCATTTGTAAAGTAGAAATGAGCCATACAGTATTTTTAAATTTTATTTATTTATTCATTTTATATCCTGATTGCAGCCCCTTCCTTTCTCCCAGTTCCCCCTCCACACACCCCCATCCTCCCCGCTCCTCCTCAGAGAAGGGGGGAGTTCCCCATGAGTACCAACCTGCCCTGTGGTGCCAATGATGTATTGCCCGGTGTCACCCTCAACTCTCAGGGACTGTGCTCAGCCTGAATCCACCGCCTCCTCCCAGAGGGACCAGCAGCTTTCCACTTGCACCCCCTCGCTCCTTCCTCCACTGGGCCTCACTGCACTGATCACTTAGAATGTGGACTGGCCCTGACACAGCCAGCAAAAGAGCCAGTTCATCAGCCTCACGTGTCCTTCAGATTCTCTTCCTCTCTGGTCCACACCCCTCTCCAACTGGACCAGCCCTGACCACTTTCACAAAGTCTCTGCCGCCTCTTCTCCTTCTCCTTCTCCTTCTCCTCCTCCTCCCCCTCCTCCTCCTCCTCCTTCCCAGGAGCCATGTGGCAGACCCTCCTCTCTTGGAACCTTTTCCCGAGTGTCACTTCTTGCTACTGTTCCCACCCAGCTGTGACCACTCCCACTGACCCACTCCTGCCAGGCCACCTCCTCCTCCCAGGCTAGGATCTGTGTGTCCTATCTGCTTTCTAAAAGTCACAGTTCATGAAGATGGTGCGTGAGGGCTGGTCTTTCCTCCTGATTGATCCAGTGGCTTGGAGTGACTGCCATAGAGTGGGCACTCGGTGAAGCTGAGTGGGTGATTAAATGGCAAATGCCCCCACCCCAGTTTTGCCATCCAAGCCCTGCCTCCTGGTGAGTCCTGTCTATCACTGATTACTCCTGGCACTTTTTGTGGCAATCATGGGTACCAAAACCCAGCATGTCTGCTTTCTAGGTCCTCTTCCACAAATACACTTCTCAGTACCCAAAGCCCCAAGAAGGCAAAAGCCTTCTTTGTGATCTTCAAAACAGTCCTTGTTTCCATCCAGGAAGGTCCAAGTTAGCAGGGACATGGGATAACACTGTGTGAGTGTGTGCGGGGGTGTGTGTACACACATATATATGTATGTATTTTAATGCTGAGACAGGATCCCTCTGTGAGGTCTAGGCTGGCCTTAGGCTGGTGGTGATTCCCCCTGCCTCATGCTCAAGAAGACCATTTTTAGTATCTATTTAGCAAACTCGGAGTTGTAACAGTGTTCCGGATTTTCTGGGTGAACAGACCATGACGTCTGAAAATCGGACAACTCATCTGTGTCCTTTTCCCTTTTGTATTGGGTAACACAGGAGCACTGATATACAGTGGTCACGGTGAAGAGCCTGCTGTGCCTGAGGGGTAGGGGGCAGTGAAGGCTGTTGGGTGGCTTTGATCACGGGAGAACAGACTTCCCTGCTTCGGTGGGTGTGTTTCAGTGTGAGGGGTTTGACAGCTCCCTCTCTAGCCCCGACTTGGAGGTGAACTGTGCTCCTCTGTAGCACGGCTACTTCCTGGGATCTCCTCAAGTTCCAAGAGTGCAGTAAAACCTGCGGCCACTGAGCGTGCCTTCTCTCTGCAACCTTTGTCAAGTGCGCTGCTGTTAGGAAATGACTACCACTAAAATAAATCCGGAGGAATTCCTCATGCTGGGAAGTGGTTCTCATGGAGCAGGAAAGACCTGAGGTCTGCACAGGCGAGGCTTCTGGGCCAGTCCCTCTTCTCTGAAGCCACATCAACAGCCCTGTTGGCCTCATGGTGACATCAGCTCTCATGTCAGCGTTCTCAGCAAGCAGCCCCTCACTTGAGCATCTGGCACTTACCCTTACAACCTTTAACCCGGGGTGTTACAGGGCGCCTCCTCTCACTTGTGAGGGAAGGTGGAAGAGAGCAGAGGTGGCACACCTCCTGGGCGGTCAGTACAAGATGTGTTGACGTTTGCTGCCCCTGCTCTCCTTGCCTCTTTCTCCGAACACTGTTTTGTTTTTGTTTTTTGTTCTGCAGGGGGTGGCTCTGATACTAAGATGAAGTAATCATTTTTGATAAAAGGTTATGTAAGTAAACTCTCTGGTTGGGGCACAGATTTTACTTGGTGAGACTGTAACACTGAACTCAGGCTTTCATTCCTGAGCCTAAGTATGTCGTTTCCAGCTGAGTCTTCAGTCCACATGTGTGACCGATGTGCACAGCCAACTCTCCATCAAGTTAAACAGTCCTTTTGTCTCGGTGACCCTATTCTATCTGCACTTTTCCTCACAGCTGGTAGTTTTCCTAATCCAGTTCTTGTTCTACAACACCCCACACATTTTCTCATTTCCTTTATTTCTATACTCCACGTCATTAAACACTTAGTTACCTTGAAAAGATCTGAGAAGGTGCTAGTTACAAATTCTGAGGATAAGTCTTCTGACTTCCTCTTTTGAAAGAAGGCCAAATGTACAGTTTGCTTATTACAATCTCAGCCTCTCCCAAGGTCCCCTCCAGTATTAACACAAGGCCTGTCATTGTCCCGAAGAAGTCTTATTTTCCATTGTGTATCTTCTCCATTGGCAAGGGCTGATGTATGCTGCATTGCCAATGTGCCAACAGCACCTGAAGGACTGAAGGGTCTTTAAAATGTTTATTCCTATCACGTAGCCCTCTCCTGTGGGCAGTCCTCTCCAGGGGCAATGCTCTTAGCCCAGGATTACTGGTTTGTCCCTGGTTAATGGCCGTGACACTTGAGTTTCACACTGAGGGAGAGCATACAAGTCTCTTTTCAGAACAGGTGGTCAGAAATCTGGCCACAGTCATACAAAGATGGCTCCAGGTCTGGGTACAACTGGTCACATACTCTCAACCCTCCATGGACTCTGCCCTGTTGTATTCTGAACTTTCAGTGTTTGGGACTGGAGACTAAATCTAGACCAGTTGGACTTCCATTTTATACAACATTTTATTCGTCTGGATGCTTTAGGATTCTTCTGCCTTGAAGTTGCACGTGTGTGTTTGTGCATTTGTGTGTGTGTGTGTGTGTGTGTGTGTATGTGTGTGTGTGCGCGCGCGCATATGCTGTTTGTCATTTGAAACCATCACTGTTCATCTGGGGATCCCTAGGCAGACTTTGCTGATCCTTTTCCTTGAGCGACCACCACTGCATTGGTTACTTTTCTTGCCACTGTGGCAAATATCTGACAGAGCAACTCAGTGGAAGAACAGTTTGTTGTAGCTTACAGTCACGTGTGCTTCCCCTTCTCACAACATGAAGAATTAAGAAGCAGAGAGCTTGAGCCTTCACCAGAATCATATATGGCCTTCAAGACCCACTTCACCCAACTAAGCTACATGTCCTAGCTGGGGACCAAGTATTTAAACAACATGAGCCTGAAGGACACATTTTTACATTGACATTCAAACCATGATGTCCTTTGAAGGCCCATCTGTCATAGGTCTAACCACAGCCTGGGGAGTCACAGGGGACTGGTGAAACCTTGGGGGGGGGGTGGACAGGTGAAGACGATTCTGGGTTGCCTAGCCACTTTTCCCATGATTCCTGCTGTCATGGGGTGGACAGCCTTCACCACATGCTCCCACCATGATGTGCTTAGATCTCCAGAGATTAAGAGCAAGATGGCAAATGTCCATGGACCAAAACCTCTGAAACCTTAGGGAAAACAAAGCTTTCCTTCCTTAAGTTGAATCTCGCTGGTATGTTCTAGTTACACTGATCAGATGTGACTAACAGGCCTGCCCTCCCTGAATGGCCGGCAAATATTTTATAGTATTAGGCAGTAAACATAGCCATGCCTCTCCTGAAGGAACATTGGATAACTTGTTAATACTTGCTTTAGGTTAATAACAGCCATCTCCCTGCAGCCCTGTATTTCTTTCTCGGAGAGGATTCTCTGCTTTTCCTTTTGAGCACTGCTTTGCTCATCATGTGACCTTCGCTTTTGTAGTCTTTGAGAGTAATGCCAGATGGTACCAGCATTTACCCATCTTAACACTGCACATTTCTAGCCAGCATCCATATGGGTCACTTTTTCTGTTGTTGGAACCTCATGAAGAGAGCGGTGGCCCTGGTATTGGAAGACTCTGTTTGGTGCCCTGGTGCATGTGTGGTCTCAGGTAAGTTTACAGACTCTAAGTGTAGGGGAGCCTCCTTCCCAACTGTAGTGAGAGATGGGGAGGTGATTCATGTTACATACTTGGACATAGTAAGAGCAAAGATGTTCTTCATCTTGTTGAGTCCGGCTCTGGTGGCCATGGCTAAAGGCAACGAGACTGGCATAGAGTGTGGGACTGACCGCAGTTTTCACTCCGAGTGAACCCTCCCTTAGCTCTGGGCACCTCAATACTATTCTAGACTTCCTCGACTCTGTTCCCTTCAGACCCCGGAGTGGGGGATTTCTCTGTCCCAGAATGGTGCTGAAACTCCTCCACTGTTGATGTCACATGTGGTGTAAAAAGACATGGATGGAGCCACCATCCTGTGTCTGGAACCAGTCCCAAGGGAGTGTCCGATTATAGGCACTACATAACCTGAACCAACCACCCCAGGAGACCTGCTGACGCCATGTCTATTAGAAAACAATCTTCCCTGAAGCCAAGAGGAAGGCCCAACCTCTACTAACATAGAGGACACAGCAACCCCAGGTGACCCTAGCAATTGTGAGTCACTTTCCCAGAGAACAGGCACAAGGAGCCCACGAGTGTCCCATGTTCACAGATTTGCTGGAAAGTTCCAGAGTGCAAATTATAGCCTCACCATCACTGTGGATAGAGAGGGGTTGGGCAGTCTATTTCTGAGCCCAGTATCAGAGCCATTACCATCTGGCATTAGGCACTAACTACACTTGCATTTTTCTTCTTCCCTGGTGTTGGTAACGGCCAGATGTATCACTTCAGGCCAATCTCATCTGCACGTTCAGCTGCCTGTTCTCCCTGACAGCTGCCCTTCTCCTATCCCAATGCCTTGTCAGTTCTTTCAGGTGAAGAAAGATGAGGGGGGAGAACATCACCAAGGTCAGCACGTTCATCCTGCTGGGCTTCCCCACAGCCCCCAGGCTGCAGTACCTGCTCTTCCTCCTCTTCCTGCTCATCTACCTCTTTGTGCTGGTGGAGAACCTGGCCATCATCCTCACTGTCTGGAGCAGTGCCTCCCTCCACAGGCCCATGTACTACTTCCTGGGCATCATGTCCACCTTGGAGATCTGGTACGTTTGTGACATCATCCCTAAGATGCTGGATGGCTTTCTCCTGCAGAGGAAACACATCTCTTTCATTGGATGCATGACTCAGCTCTACTTCTTCAGCTCCCTGGTGTGTACAGAGTGTGTACTTCTGGCTTCCATGGCCTATGACCGCTATGTGGCCATCTGCCACCCTCTGCGCTACCAAGTCATCATGACCACAGGGCTGTGTGTCCAGCTTGTGGCCTTTTCCTTTGCAAGTGGCTTTACCATCTCTGTGATCAAGGTCTACTTTATCTCCAGTGCCACCTTCTGTGGCTCCAATGTCTTGAACCACTTCTTCTGTGACATCTCCCCCATCCTCAAGCTGGCCTGCACTGACTTCTCTACAGCAGAGCTGGTGGACTTCATCCTGGCCTTCATCATTCTAGTGTTCCCTCTCCTGGCCACCGTTCTCTCCTATGGCCACATCACCCTGGCTGTGCTGAACATTCCATCAGCCACAGGCCGGTGGAAGGCCTTCTCTACCTGTGCCTCCCACCTCACTGTGGTCACCTTCTTCTACATGGCCATGATCTTCATGTATGTGAGACCCCAGGCCATCGATACTCGGAGTTCCAACAAGCTCATCTCTGCTGTGTACACTGTCCTCACACCCATGATGAATCCTTTGATATACTGTCTGAGGAACACTGAATTTAAGGATGCTATGAGAAGATCTTTGGGTTTGGGTACGACTCCTCAGTAGCTATTAAGTATTCTCAAGTATAATTCAAATAAAACCTCTTCTACCACCCAATTCTATCTAAACTTTTTTTTAAATAAAATTTAACAAACCTTTACATCTACCTACAGTACTGAGCCTTCGTCCAAACATGTCTTCTGAGTGGAGACTCGGGGAACACGTTCCCAGCTAAAGTAGGCATTGGAGTCCCACCCTCAGTCACTCTCTCTGTCTCAAGAGAACCACTGTGCTGCTTTTCAGTGCCAGAGAGTAGCCTGGGTGTTGTTTCATTAATGTAAATCATGAAGCACTTACATTTTCATGTTCTGCTCTAGCTCAGCAGTGTGTCTGGTGTCTCCTGTCTTTGCATGTGGTAATCCATGCATTGTTTCTCAGTAGTATTTACATTACATTGGCATGCGGTTCTGTGTTTTGCTACTGGCTGGCAATATTACAGATACTGTCTGGGATATGTAATGCTGCAACTTGCAATCCAGGCAGTATTTTTATTTTTACTGCTATCTTTGTAGTTTGGTGAGCTACACTACCTATCTATCTAGGCTAGACCTAGGTACGCATAAAGGCTGTATGTGCCTGGTGCTGCTGCAATACAAGGTAAGTGGATGGTCAGGTTTAGCAGAAGCCGCAAAGTCTTTCAAACAGTATGTACCAGTTTTCCTCCCATTGGTAGTGTAGGAGAATCCCCGTGCTGCCATGCCCTGGCCAACATGTAGTGTTGTTTGTATGTTCCAAGTCAGCCTTTCATCTGGGCTACAAACGTGACTTAAACCTTCGTTTTCCAAACACAAATGGTGTCCTGCTGACATCAACAGAACTGTCTCTGTTCTTTTGGATATGACCTCTTTGATGATCTTTCCACAGCTTCTGCCCATTTTCATATGGGGTTTCTTTCTACACAGGCTTTTTCCATCATCTGAGCCCTCTGATGCAAAATTTCTTCCAGTTAGTTACATGCCGTGTCCTTGTGGCTCTTACAATAAGAAAAATTCTTTATTTAATGTCTAGCGTGTACATTTCCTCTTATAGAGGTTTTCCATTTAAGAAATACTTGCCTCTCCTAAGTTCATGGAAATGTTCTCATGTCACATTCTAGATGATTTGTCTTTTTAAATGTTTAAATCTGTAATCCAGCTGAAATTGAAACCATTTTCCAAAAAGACTGGAAATTGGTCTAGCACTCACCACTGTTTGGTAGGTCATGCTCTTCTCTAGGTAGCATCGCCCTTTCATAAACCAAGTCACTGAAATCATATGGACCCTTTTGCTTGGACCATGCCTGCTCTTTTTTTCTATCCGTTATCTGGAGCCAGACAGACCCAACACTCTATCAGAAGCTCAGATGAAGGGCAAAAAGAAGTTGGTTCTGTGTCCTTGTCCAGGAGTGGACTTAGCAAGGCTGGTTTAGGGCTCAAGCCAGTGCCTCAAAGAAATCAAGTCTGTGGTTTCTCGGAAACCAACTCTTCTCCCTGAGCTGAACTTATCCATCCTAAAACAGCTGTGTCTAAAGGCTCCTGTGTTCTCTTGCCAACATGGTCTGATTTAGGTCTCTGTTGACCTTAGCCATGTGCCTCCTGGTATATAAGATGCTGTACTTCTTAATAAACTTGCTTAAGTTATCAGCTAATGTAAGACCTCCCGGTTCAGGTCCAGCCTCCTCTCTCTCTCTCTCTCTCTCTCTCTCTCTCTCTCTCTCTCTCTCTCTCTCCCTTACCCTCCCCTCCCTCTCATTCCCTCCTGTCTCTCTCCTCCTCCCACCTCTCTCCCTCCCTCTTGCCCCTGGCACCTCTCACTCAGGACCCTGTCACTGAAGAAGAACCTAGCCCAGGCCAACCTGTTTCTTCCTGAACCAGTTACAGGGTTTTTTGGAATTTAGCCTTCCATGTACCATGAGGTCCACTAACATATCCTCCATGTGCTTCTAGTCTAGGTGACCTTTGTTTGTCTTAGGGCTTAGTGAAAGGAGGAGTTACACAACTTAGAACCTGCTTGTCAGCATCAACAAAAGATAAGCTTGCAGGTTCTTATTTGTGGGATTGTGTTGATTCTACAGATTAATTTTGAGACAATTTTTATCTTCACAATTTTTAGGGTTTTTTTAATCAGAAAATAATGAGCACCTTGAGAAGGCCTGGCTAAATATTCAATTTCTTGCTAAACAGAACAGGCCTAAGAGTTGCAGGAAAAACCACAGAATAGGGATACCAATCAGAAACAGCCAAAACATCTGGCCTGAGGAAGATAAGGTTTTTAAACTACCTGTTTGAAAAAGCACCTAAGTCCTGACCAGAGTCGCATAGTCTCTAGGGGAACCAGGCAATCTCAATCAAGGTTACATAGCCACAGTAAGAATTCCACTTTCTGGCTTTAAAAGGGGCATGCAAGGTTCCCTTGGGTCTGCCACCATATTGTGAAGGTGGTGGCCCCCGCATGCTGGGCTTTTGCAGAATAAATGCCCTTTGTTGCTTGCATGCTACTCAAGTCTGGGGTTGTTCTTTCGGTGTCTTCTGGACCCTAACAACCTCTCTTCTGGTATAATTTCAATTTCTTAAAGCTACACTGTAGCTTTGGTTGGCAGTCCTTCTTTCCAGGGCTTGAATTTCTAAATATTATAATACAAAAAGTATCTCTTAAGTTTAAATTTTAAAGTTCTGTTACTTTATATATATATATAAAGTACACAATATAATTTCAACTTTCTTTTAGAGATAATGGTAGATTTTCAGAAAGCTGCAAAGAAATATGCCAGGCAGTGCCATGTGTCCCTTGCCTGGTCTTCCTACTAATGCCATCTTGCATGTGTAAGGTGCAGCTCAGTGACAGGACATTGACTTTGGCATATCCTCCAGAACTTGTTCGAGTTCCATCAGTTAGCAGATTTGTGTCACAGAATGTGCACATTTGTGATGACTGTGGACATGAAGTAGTCAAGGGGCAGAGCATCTCCATGACCGGAGGAAGGTATTTGGTGTTGCTGACTTGCAGCCACACCCCACACTGCAGTCTCAAGAAGCCCCGAACATCTTCCCGGGATTTTATTTCAATACATAATACAAATGGAACCATACCAATTGGCCTTTGGAATGTGCCACTCTGCCCAGTCCTGGATTATTTCTAAGGTGAATTTAAGGAAGCTTGTAAGGAAGTTTGGGTTTCTTTGTACACTCAGTTATGTTATGTAATTTTCTTTAGTCTGAGTGTGGGTTTTTAGTTGGGCTTTAGTTTGTCCACAGCTGTTAACTGTGGGGCACGGCCTTTGACAGCCAGTAACGGCCTGCCCATTAAAACATCCTTTGTGGAGGTTTTAGTGGGAACTCCATTAAACCTATAGATTGGCTTGGGAAGATTTTACAATGCATGTTTCTTCCAATCCAATAGAGAGAGAAAAAGAGAGAGAGAATTTATACATATATGTGTGTGTGAGTATGCCTCTCCATTTTCCAGGTCTTTGATTTCTTACATCAGTGTTTTAAACATTGCAGCCTATAGATGTGTTATATTTAAACTCAAGGATTACAGTTTACTCAGACCAAGGATAAACTGAACCCCATCTACTATTCATCTCTGACTTATATGCTGTTAGCCTAAAGAATACTGTGTGATTCTGTGTGGCTTTTTATATTGCACAGCCTGGCTGAACTTATTCATTCTAGGGGCTTTTCGGTCATCTCCTTTGGGCTCTTTGAGTACAAATGATGTCATCTACAAACAGTTTCATTTTTGTTTTTCCTATATGTATTCTGTTTATATCTTTTGCACTTATTACACAGCTAGGGGTGCCATTGTTTTGCTGAGTAAGTGTGGGGAAAGGAGAAAGCCTTTCTATTCAAAAGGCAAATCCCATTCTTTTCTATTCACATGATGTTAGTCTTAGGGTTTTATGGGCACGCTTTGAAGCAGTTGCCCTATAGTTTTTGTTGAAGCACATGTGTTCTTCATTACAAATAAATATTGAGTTTTGTCAAAACGCTTTTCCTGCAGTAGGCAATCTGATCACATATATTTCTTTTGCTTTAACTTGTTTTTACATTGGTAGATTTTAAAACATCAGATGGCTTTGCATCCTTCACATCACATTTGCTTATGGTGTACTACTCCCTTTAGATGTTGTTGGATTCCATTTGCTAATGATTTCTTGAAGACTTCTGTGTATAAGTTCATAAGGGATATTGATCTATCGAGGGCTTAAATTGTTGTACTGTCTTTAGCAATCATGGCAGCGTAACTTGTGGTGGTAGGCATTATCCCTTCTGTTTTCTAGAGGAGGCTGTGCATATTTAGTATTATATATTTATGTAAGTAAAATTCCTCAGTGAAAATGTGCTTCTCTTTTGGTTAAGTGAGTTAAGTTACACATTCAATTTCTTCAACATGGAAGGCTTAGGTATGACTTTTTCATGTTAATGACTCCAAAAGGTGTTGTAGTTTACACAGGCTACTTCATGCATGTATGTAATATACTGTGAACATCCCACACACCTCACTACTCCTTTCTCACCTCTGACATCTCACATCACTCCCTTTGTTCCCCAGTTCCCTTCGATGTTTATATCATTCACGCATGATTTTATCTACCTATGAACTCTAGGACCCACAAATAGCAAAACACAGTAAGACAGTTGCCTTTATGGCTTTTTGTTTACTATGATAATCTCCAGTTGCATTTCCCCCTCCCCCCCAAATAACATAATTTCAAGACTCTATGGATAGGAAAACTTCACTTGCATGCCCAGCACTTTCGCTTCTTTCCTCTGGCTGGACACTTAGGTTGGCTCCATAACTTAGCTATTGTGAGCAGTGTTGCAACAAACAGTGAGCTGCAAGTGTTTTTGTGGCATGTTGACTTGGACGTTTTGGGTGAGCACCTGGGTGTGGTATAGCTTGGTCATATGGTAGCTCTATTTCTGGTTTTTGAAGAACCATCACACTGATTTCCATACAGGCTGGCTTAGTATACATTAATGCCAGCAGTATACTGTATATATAAAGATTCTTTTTTGTTGTTTTTGGTTCACATCTTCACCAGAATTTGTTGTTATTCATTTTCTTTATGACTGCCATTCTGACTGGGGTGAGGTGGAATCTCAATGTGCTTTTCATTGTATTTCTTTGATCACTAATGATGTTTTAAAATTTTTCATGTTTATTGGCCATCGGTGTTTCATCATTTGAGAACTCTCTGCTCATTTCACTGGCCCATTTATTGAATGGACTGTTTGGTGTTTGGTGAGTTCTTTGTGTATTTTAGACATCAATCATATAATAGGTATGTAGCAAACAAAGACTTTTCTCTCATTTTGTAGGCTATCACTTCTCTTGATTGTTTCTCTTGCTGTGCAGAAGGTTTTTAGTTTCATGAAATCGCTGTTTTATGATTGTTTTTCCTTTGCTTTTCTTTCACCTTCCAAAGGGCATCTTTAAAAGAATCCCATTATTATTTGCTTATGTTTGGGGACTATCATTTTTGCAGTATTGTTAGTGGTGAGTCTAGGTGTTACAGTATACAGATAAATGTACAACAACCTGCTGTAGGGCTGATTCACTACAGCTGGACCAAACATTACTTTCATTTAGGTTCTTCTTGACCACCCCCATTTTCCAAATGTGATTATTCTGAGTAATTTCTATATATACATGAGGTATTGCAGTATGATGACACAGTTTTGTTTCAGCCACCAAATATGATTATAAAACCCATTCACTGAGGGATAGATATGAAACTTCCATTCTCCATTCTCTTATTCTGTCTTTCTGAGGGAGTCTCCAGCCTTCTATTGTCATTTGGAAAGCTTCCCTCACCCAACTATTCTAAAAAAAAAGGCCTTGCTGGAGATGAGAACTGTCATCCAAGTAGATCTGTTCTTCCTCTGAATGTCTGTGGATTTCCTCCAACAGCCCCAGGAGAGCCTCAGCCCATATCAAGAAACCCACTGGTTACACGAATCCAGGGAAAATAAGATGGGTGGAAATACTACCCAGGTCATTTTGCTGAAGACTATATTATCTTAGCATTAAGATGAGACAAAAAGAGCTGCTAACTAAAAATCATTGGCCATTATCCTTCCTGAACATGTGAAGGATTCTTAAAAGCTCAAGTACAACTCATTACTATAATGACATATAAAATCAAATGGGGATGTGTAATCCAGGGATTCAAGGCTCATGCAACAATCAGTCTTCAAAAATATCTCACAGTTAACTCGTAACCAAAAGTCTCAGCAAACCTGGGGCAGATGAACCCCCTACAGACTAAGTAGCACCACGAAGACCTGCAAGCTAATAACGTACACCATTTTTCACTGTGCCCCCAGCAGAAGCTGTCAAACACACAGACCTTATCTTAGGACGTGAGGTAAGTGTCTTATGGTCAGGATGCAAAAGGAATGTGGAGAAGATTCTCCCTCCCATCCCCAGTATACCGGAAAGGACGCTGGACTTTCTAAAAATCCAGAAATGCAGGGGAGGCTTTGTGTCACCCACATGGAGGTGGTCCGAGAACAGCCCAGCCCGGGACTCCCCGCTGTTTTGAGGATCCTTTCCCTGTCAGCACTTCCGGGCTTCCTCGGAGTCTTCTTCCTTAGCCTCAGAGAGTCTTGAAGCTGAAGACCTTTCCAGGAGGTGATTGTAAAGTCAGTAACTGTGGAAGTGAGACAGGGGCCTCTGCCCTGGAGATCACTGAGGTGGCTTCAAGCACTTAAAAGAGCTCAGAACGTGGTTGAAAGCGGGTCACACTCACAAAGCCCAGGCTGGGACAGGTGACCCCATAGAAACCCACATAGGAATGGGCTCTCCTCAGCGTCCAGGAGGGCAGGGAGAGGATCCTCCCTACAGAACCCAGACTGGGAGTGAGTGACATCCACAGAACCCAGGAGGTAGGTCCTCTCCTCAGAGCTAGGGCGTGCAGGAGGGAGGTGGGTTCTCACCACAAAATCTGGGGAGCGAGCGGGTCCACTCCACAGAATTCGCAGAATACCCGGAGCGAGGGGGTCGCACTTTCGTCACACATCTCAAGGCATCTGCGAAAACCCCAGGTCAAAGCTGGCCTCTTCTGTGCACTCCGCAAGGCTCAGGAGGGTCTTCTCGCCCTTTGCTGTACACTTAGTTCAACTGTCCAGCAGCCAGCCGCGACGGCCGCCCCAAATGGTCTAACCCTCAAACTCGGGCTACGGCTGTCTAGACCTAAGCCCCGCCCCTCCCTTACGGCCCCGCCCCTGTTCCAACCCGGTGCACCGCGCGGAGAATTATTTTCCACAGGCGCCGCGAACGCCTCCGCCGTGACGTCATTGCAGCGCGTCGTAGACAGGATAGGACCCCGTCGCGGTCGCGTCCCCCTGGTCCTTGAGCCGTCGCGGACGGTGGAGCTATGGCCTTGAGGCTGCTGAGACTTGTCCCGGCGTCGGCGCCCTTGCGCAGCCTCGCGTCCGGAGCCCAGCGCGTGGTGAGCAGCGAGCGGCTAGTCTCGCTGGGGTCCCGGCCTGTCGGCCCTGAGCTCTGACACCCCGCCATTTGTTGGTCAGATCCTGGAGCTACGAGCTCCTGAGGCCTCCACTCAAAACTCCCGGTGCAGCGATGAGGCGGGACTCGCTGTCCTGGCTGCACTTGGGGAACCGGGATGCTAGAGCTCTGGAGCCTGGGCCCGCGCGCTCATCCGTTCAGTAATTGGTGAAGTTGCTTTGTCGAATGCCCTGTAAACTCCGGGGTGACGTGATGTGGAGCAGCAGCAGAGATTGTGGTAGATTGGGGAGGGTTAAGACTTCCTAAGGTGCATGCAGAATAGTGGGTGATACTACGTGCCTAGCGGACCCTGGCTGGGAACAGAACATGTTTTATGACGGCATCACAACTTCTTTGCTTTCTGGTAGCTAGGACTACGTAGATGTTAGATTGTAAAGAGGCTGACCTTCATCCTAAGGATCTTTATTTTGAACAGAGGAGTGGAGAAATGGGGTGTATGTGAATGGGAGCCTGAATCAGTACTATCAGCCTAAACCCCATCAGGACCTCACCAACTAGAGCATACAGCATAGTCACAATGCACTTTTGACTGACCCGTAGAGGCTACACTCATTTCTCTGTCCCTTCATCACCCTTTTGTATGTTGGAAGTTCAGTCACATTCTGTGTTCCATCCTAATTAAGTTTTGCATGCATTGAGTTCATTCCTTGTGCTGTGAAGTTCTGTCGTTTACACAATAGAAAATGTAGCTCAGTGTTTACAATACCACACAGAGTAGTTCTAAAAAAATAAAAATCAGCCCTAAAAACAAAATCCATTGTGCTTAATATTCATTTCTTTTCCACCCTCAACTCATGACAGCCACTACACTTTTGATTTGTCACACATGATATTACCTGTCACATTGCTTTCTTTGTTTACACTTATTTTCACAGTTACAATTCACTTGTGTGGCTGGACAGGTAGCTTAGTGGTTAAGAGTATTTGTTGCTCTTTAACACACACACACACACACACACACAATAAATCTAGATAACAAATCTTAAACCAGATGTCATGGTGCACACCTTTAATTCCAGTATGACACAGGCAGATCTATGAATTCTAGGACAGCCTGGTCTATACAGGGAGTTCCGGGCCAGGCAGGGCTTCACAGTGAAACTCTTAAAACCAAACCCCCAAAACAGCAAGGAGAGAGATTCGCTCATGTCTTTATGGCTTGTTTAGTCCTTTCAATTGGTGGGTGATAATCCATAGTTCGGATATACTGTCATTCATCCATTACCTATTGAAGGTCCTTCTTGGTACTTTCCTCTTCAAGGCAGTTGTGAAAAAAAAAAAAAGCTTCTTTAAGTATGTATGTAAATTTCTTGTGGGAATGTGTTTCCTATAATTGGGTGATGTGTTTGCTGGGTCATTAGTGAGACTAATTTTATAACCATCTGTCTTCCACCGACTGTTCCATCTGTACTCCTTAGCTGGGCAGAGCGCCCTGCTGCTGTATGCTGTCTTTCTGGTACTGGCAGCCTTTTGCACTTATGAGCATCCTGTGAGCACGTGTAGTGCATTTCCTGTTCCTCGTGGGAGCGTCTTGGGCGCTTACTTGTTGTCCGCATTATCTTTATGAGATCAAATTCTAAAATTACTCCTTAATTTTAGAATTTGCTGCCTTTTCAATTGTTCTCCTTTTAATTATGTATCCTCTACTGTCCCCAGTTAATGATCTTTATTTGGGGAGAGTGGACTATTTTAGCTTTAGTTCGGTGAGTAGACTGGAAGACTGCTGATGAGGATGTCCCTTGCCTTGTTGATGTGAGAATGACATGTGCATCGGTGCAGCAAGAGAGGGAGGTGATGCCTCTTCCACAGAGCCTGGGTTTCTGTAGGTGATTATGGTATTGAAGGAAGGCAAAGAGAATGCTTATATTGCTCTATATAGACAGTTCCTGCTGTTCAGGGCATCATACTTGGGTATTAGAGTATGTAAACTCTACTTTGGCTTAAGTCTTCTAGCTTTCTCACCTTACAGTGTTTACTCAGTGGGTAGGTAATTAGGAACAGTCTGAAGACAGAAGCCAAAATCAGAAGGTGCTTTTATTGTGTCAGGTACCCCTCCCTTTAGCCATTTGTCCCTCCATCTTTCTGTCCCTCTCGTCATCCATCCAGTGCTCATTAACATAGCAAGCATCCTTGCTGCTGGCCCTGTTCTGAGACCTAAGAAGGTAAATAGTCATCTCTCAGAGAGCTGGTGCTGAGGAAGAAGGGAGTCAGATCATCATACAAGAGGGACCTCTTAGTATTTTACTTAATAGCCGCTAATGCCTGCAATAACCAGAGTGGTTATGTAATATCGTGTTTTTTAGGGGCAAATTCATACCAGTGCGCATTGCAAGCTGAGGTATGGGCGACTGGCCTTCCTTCTTGGTGACAGGACAACCAAAAATCTGAATGAGTACAGCCGAGTGATAACGGTAGATGGGAACATCTGCGCTGGGAAAAACAGGCTCGCAAAGGAAATCGCAGAGAAACTAGGTATGGACGGCATGCAGAGTGGCCCTGGCCTGCCGGGCATGTGGCTGCTTATCCCACTTAGAATTTGCTTGGCTGGTAACTAGATAAATTTAGGTAGGTCTTTTACATCTTTTAGTTGCTTGTTGAAAATATGCTTATAGTCTTAGTGTTTGAGAAGCTGCAATAAGATCACCATGTAATTGAGGCAAACTTGGACTATGTAATGAGTACTAGGCCAACCATGGCCTCATGGGGAGACCCTGTCTCAAGAAGACCAGTTTGGGGGATGGGTGTTAATCTTTCAAATGTAGCAAATTTTAAAATCCTTGGGAATGCCTGCCTTAGTTCCCCTACCAGCGTTATCACTGCATTTGCTTTCACATGGGCTGAAGGGGAGGTAGGCTGACCTGGGCCTACTTGCCCTTTGGTGATGTTGGACAGCAGCAGTGCGCTGAGGGTTGGAGGGGGCTGTGCTGTGCCGCTTGCTTGCAGGGAGTGGAGAAGCATGCTCTTCTGCTTTTGTCCACGTCACCTGTTGTGATTCTTGAGCACGTGATGAGGTGTGAACACAAAGGTGACTTTCCCTGGGTTCAAATGGCCAGCCCTGGCAATAATGGAGAACTTTTCTTTGTTTCTGTTCAACCACACACTGACTGGGAGTGAGCAGTCTGCCCATGCTTCATGTAGGTCTTCTCTCCTTAGGCATGAAACACTTTCCTGAAGCAGGGATACAGTACTCAAGCAGCACCACAGGTGATGGAAGGCCCCTCGACACGGAATTTAGTGGCAGCTGTAGCTTAGAGAAATTTTATGATGATCCGAAAAGCAACGATGGCAACAGCTATCGCCTGCAGTCCTGGCTGTATGCCAGCCGCCTCCTGCAGTACTCAGACGCCCTGGAACACCTGTTGAGCACAGGTACTACTGTGTCCTTGGTTGGGGGTGGTGGGCATTCTCTTTCTTGATTTGTTTCTGAGTAGAGGATTTCTGAAAAGGTTTTTTAGGCAAGTCTGTGTTTCCAGTAAGATCATAAGTCTTTGAAATCCCTGTTGGCGCAGGCTCAGAATAGCACAGCCTTATCATTGTGGTTGATGGTGGGTTTAGAAACAAGTTCAGCTGCCTCTGGGAAGTTGGCTCAGTGATTCTGAGCTGTGAGAACAAGGATGTATTTTCAGCTATGCCTCAAGATAGTTGATAAAGCTGCTTCACAGACTTGCATTTGGCATCCATTGCCTGGGACTCTGGGTTACTGAGCACACAGCGTATGTCCACAGACCCTGAATCATGCTGAAGTGTCACAGAAGTGTCTGATTTTTATTTTCCAATTTTATTAATGACTATTTGGTGGGTACCTACTGTGTGCTAGGCTTATTCCAAAACCAAGGAATACTGCAGGGAGGAGGCTTATATTTTAATAGGACAATGACTGACTGGAAATATGCATGACAGGAGTGAGTGGGTGGTGAGTACCTTGGGGAAGTTGGTCCTAGGTGAAGTTACATAACAACCAGTTTTCTCTCTGTGGTGAGTGGGGCTGGGGCCCATTCTTTCAGAGTTCTGGCTAGGCCCAGTGGGTGGATTACAGGAACTTTTTTTTTTTGAGCATCTTGAGTGATTGTATTGCAATGGGTGCAGCTGGTGGTGATGGTGATAAAGGTGAGAAGTAGCGAGCCGAGAGTATTGGACTTGGAGGTCTTTACTCTGAAGGAGAGCAGAGGCCATTGGGAGGTCTGAGCAGAACTTCTTCAGGCTCAATTTGGAAGTGTCCTGCTGTGGAGAAGAAAGGATCAGGATATCACTGAGAGATGCTGTCTTCTGTGAGCTTCCTATCACCTCGTTGAGTGTGATGGGAACGCTCAGCTCTGGCTTTTTCAGCACCACCACCTCAAAGACAAGAGTGTCCCGTGTGGCTGCACATCTCTCATCATGCTGAAAGATGTAGAAGACACTGGACCTAGAGAAAGAAGTGATCTGAGATGGTTACATAACTGCTGGTTTAGAAAGTATATTTGATTGAAGAGTTAAGCAGTTTTCTGTCAACAAAAAATAATGCTCTGAACCAGGGTGTTCTTTGGGACGTGGTTGCTCTGGGGCAGTAACCCAAAGCTGCTGCTGGAAGAGAATGAAATAGTAATGATGGAGATGGTCTCAAGAGAAACAAGAATGTTGTTTTAACCCTGTGGACAGCATTGTACCACATGCTCGATTTCCAGGTCGGGTGACAAAATCAGGGCATGAATTTGTCACATTTCCAGATACATGAGATAACGAAGTTGTTATCTTGAGCTTGAAACATTTTTTTTTTTAATTTAATTCTTTATATTCAGAAAAAAACAACAAAAAAGTGTGTTTGAGAGAACTTGAGGATGGTTGTGGTAAGTAGGACATGAAGTATAGGAGGAGTTGACCAGGAATCTGAAAGGTCACAGTGACACTGAAGGAGCTGATTTAGAACTCATGTTCCTTTTCTGTCACAGGTGATGGAGGAGACAGTGTTACTGTAAGCCAAATACGTACTATGGTATTAAAAGTGTTTTCCACTTGTAAATAGCATAGTCTTTGAATATATTTGTTAAGAATTGGAATTGTAAGTGACTAGATTTTTTGTTTTTCCATTTCTAAAATGAAATTTTTAGTTAGCGGTACATTTTATCCATTAAATTCAAATATTTTGTTTACCTGTTTTAACAGGACAAGGTGTGGTCTTGGAGCGCTCCATCTACAGTGACTTTGTCTTCCTGGAGGCAATGTACAACCAGGGCTTCATCCGAAAGCAGTGTGAGTTGTTTCATATGTTCTCTGGTGTCCTTGTGCCTCTGCTGATAGGCAGAGCTCCACAGAGGCTGACAGGAAGGTATTCTGAGTTAAATAAGTGCTGCTGCAAACTGTGTTCTCCAAGGTAAAAGGAGGCTCACTAAGCTCCCATTGTCCTCTTCATCTTAAATAGATATCTTTCCACCTTTTGATGCTCAGGAATACCCAGGCACCCCACAGCTCTCGAAGCCATTCTCAAGAGACTCCTGATCCCTGATCCTCAGTTCAGGCCTACAGTTCACTATTTGGGGGCGGGGGAGGGGGAAGCACCTATGTAGCTAATTGTGCTGAACTCTCTAGTTCTGTTGTATGGTTTTTATGGACTTGGACTGTTTGATTTTGCCTCTATCCCTGCACAGTTGCCGGTGTCATTGCTTCCCCTCCAGCACATTGATGAGCCTATTTTAGGATTATGGCATTGGTTGGGTCACTGGCAGATGACAAAGGAGAAAGCGTAAAAGGCTGTTAGTTAGAGCAGCCTGGCCTAGGCAACCCCAGGAGGTTGGTGTATCTGTTAAGAGACTGGGCAGTGCTGAGCTTGCCCTGGGTCAGTTTGAGTGTCAGGTTCTTACCTGTGTGCTTGATGGCTATACCAGGAAACTGAAATCTGAAGGTCAGTGTGAATGTAGCTGACCAGAGAAACTGAGGCAAGCAAAGGGATGATTGTAATCTGAGGCTCTGCTGTATCCTGGTGACTTGAAGCCACCCACCCTTGTCTGTAGAGCAGAAAGAGTGGGCAGAAACACTTTGCTTCTGCCTGAGGGTCAGCCTGCCATCTACAGGCCAGGCAGCAGTTGGGGTTGGCTAGCAGGTTTTTCTGGGAGCTATTGTGAACACAGTTCTGTTGGATGCTAAAGGCTTTGGTATCCTACAGACAGGGCATTAACTCGGCAGACGTGATGAGTGGCAGAGGCAGCGTCCCTGAGCACCACTCAGCTTGGATCCAGCGCACTGTGGAAGGAGCACGCCTGTGATGGGGCTGATGTGTGAGGGGGTGGGAGCCATTGTCAGGGACAGCTCCTGTGTGAATCACCTTCAGGAATCACCCACTGAGTGCAGAAGGGAGTGAGGATGGGTGCATTGTGTGCACTAGGCTAGGGGTGCTGTTGCAGAACAGAAGGAGGGCTGGAGCCTGGCCAGTAGTGGGTTGGAGTGCCAGGTGGCATGCGCAAGCAAGGACTGGCACTTTATTAAGATGGGATATCTTCTGAAAGTCCTGAGGGACTGCTGAGCATTTTAAGTGTAAGAAGGAACATTCGGTAGTTAGGTTGTCACAGGAATGTCTGGAGAGAACAGATATGGTAAGGGGAGGTGGTCATTTGGGAGGAAGTGGGGAAGAAACAGGTTGGCCTAGGTTGGAGGATACACTGGCAGCAGGGGTTATCTACTGAGGAGGCTAACGCTGACAAGGAGGGGACAGTGGTCACTCAGAAGCACAGCAGGAAAGTGGTGTAAGACCCGTTTCTAGAAGGAGGAGGAGTCAGTAGGCTGTAAAGTGGGCATCTTGGATGTGGGATTCTTTGAGATGGCTCAGGTTACACCTACAGGCAGATTCATGCTGCTAAGGCCTGAGGAATAGATGCCAACAGGTGTAGTTTGGTGTCAGCACTGACATTGGGGCTGTTTTGATGTGGTGATGCCCATGAGTGGTAACAGTGGCGACCAGGTCCTGGGTACAATAACTGAGGAGGCAGAAACCCCAAAGGGTAAAGCTGCATGGCTACATGTGTCCAGGGGTAGCTGGGGGTGGGAAGGGGTTGACCAGGCCACATGTGCTGTTGTAACAGGTGACCATTGGATTCCATCTGTGTAAGGTTGCTGACTATACCAGGATAGGGAAGAGTGCATTAGCTAAAGTCAGTGAGGGAAATGCCTAAGGAATGGGATGCTGACACAAAGAAGTGGGCAGTGAAGATGCAACAAGGTAATACATTATTCGGGCAGAGGGCAAGGCTGCTCTATTGCAGTCTAGCAAGCAGGGCGAGGCTTAGCTTTCTTCTTGGACTTAGCGGTATGTTCGGGGCAGTCTGTGCAGGTGCCCTAGGCCCATGGGCCTGTCTCCTCCATCATACTTTCCATATTGAGCTTGGTCCTTCTTGGTCTTGGACACAGACCAGTCCAAAGATGGCCTTCAACATAATGACCACGAGGGTCACTGGCATGTTGTTCTGAAGTGTCTTTCCATGGGCCTTAGTGTGAACACCCACTTGTCACTTCTGGATGATTTACCATGGAAACAGTGCTTTCTCAACACCGCACAGAGGTGTCCCAGTGTGGGCATTCCACTGTAAACCTCCTGCATTCTCCCTGTTGGGGGCTAGTGGATAGGGTGTGCATGATGATGCTGGGTTGTAGGTGTTTGTGTGTTTTTTAATGACTGGAGTCTCTGGTCATCAGGACTGTGGTCTGTGTGCTGTGTGCTGAGGATGAGATGCCTGCAGCAGGCAGTGCTTCCGGTTTATTTTTGGTGTGAGTCTGATTAGGTAGAGGGTTATGTGTAGTCCATCAAAGTCTCTGACATATTCTCAGCCCAGGTAAGTATAGCGTATGTTCTATTACTTGAGAAATACTTTGAACTCTATAGAGCAGACTCTTAATTGTGTATCATAAAGAAATAGATAGACAGTGGGTTATCATTCATCCCAGCTCAAGAAACACATGAGAACACTGCTGTGCCTCCAACTTCCCCAGGAAGTGAGCTAGACATACACAGGGTCTGTCCTGTGGGTGGTGGTTAGGGTCATAGTTTAAATCCCCATGTGCCAGAAGAAGCCTTTAGCTCTGTAGACTCTGATGGCCACGGGCTCTGTTGTAGGTGTGGACCACTACAATGAAATTAAGCGGCTCACTCTCCCAGAGTACCTGCCACCCCATGCAGCCATCTATATTGATGTGCCTGTGCCGGAGATACAGAGACGGATCCAGAAGAAAGGAGATGTAAGTCATGACCCATGGGAGTCAGGTGTTCTTGTGATCAGCATGTGACAGGGCTAGTTCCCATGTGCAGGAGGTCTCAACCAAGACTGCACATCTGACCCTGAGCCAGTCTTGTGGGGAGGCAGAGAGAGAATCTTGTCTGCCCTGCATGGCCCTTTTCTCTTCTCTGAAGGTCTCATGTCCTGTTGTCCAGGTAATGAAAGTGATTTGGATATCCTTTCAATAGCCATAAATGGAACCTCCCCCTCCTTCCCATGTACTGGTTCTATAGAGAGCCATGTTCTCCCACACATACAGCTGCCCTTTTGGTCAACATTCGGATGGCTCCCAGATTGATTAGTAAATGCTGGTCATGGGGGAGACATGGCCTTTGCCTGATGTGTTGGAGATGTAGGTTGCTGTAGTGAGCCTGAAGTGACCATCCTCGGTGCTGTGTCCTCACAGGTGCTCCAGGAGCATCTTTCCTAATGCAGGCCTCGGGTATCTTTAAGATGTTACTTATTACTATTACTCTATGTAAGCTGGGAAGGGGTGCCTGTATCACAGTACCTGTGGAAGTCAGGACCACGTTGTGACGTTCTCTCCTTCCCATTGTATCTGGTCCCAGACATTGATCTGGGTGTGGAGGCTATATGGCAAGCACCTTAACCCACTGAGCCATCTTGCTTACCCTCCAGATGGACCAGCTCTTCCCTTCCCCTGACAAGGACAAGTAAACCATTTTGTTTGTGCCTGTCTGTGCCTCAGGCTACATAAGAGTTCACCCTAAGTGGGATGAATAAATCAGGACTTACCATCAAATTACAGAGGGAACTGCAAATACTTAATTTTGCCAGTAAAATAATTTTCAGCACAATTGTTTATGACATTAGTCACTGAGAAAACCCAAGTCATATATTCCATGCTCTAGAAAACAGTTTTGTTATGCTAAGTAACAGTACTTCAAATAATTGCGAGTCCAAATTTGAGCTGTCAGCTGTGTTTTTTCTAAGTCAAGTCTTGGTCTCACAATCACTTTATAAAGATGACCTCTTCTATGGGAGAGACTTGTGCTCTTGCTGCTCTGTCAGTGCAGCCTGCTTCCAAGCTATGGCCTCGTTAACAGCCGTGGGCATCTCAGACTCATTCAGCAAAGTTACTGATAACTCCCTGTTTTATCCAGTGTCTGTGGGTGGGGTGTGCAGTGGGTGTTTTGTGTTGGGTGTGTACGTTTCTGGGGATCTTCTAGGATCCCTCTGCATGTGATCTTGCTTCACTTTGGCTATGGCTAGTGGTGGAGTCATTCCCTGTCCCCCAACAGTGCTTTTGTGGCCCCTCAACTGTTCATACTAAGTGCTACATCTGTCACACAGAAGTGCCTGGGGTGCCTGCTTGGCACTTGTGCTGCAACAGATTCTCCAGGGAAGTCAGCCCCTTCACCTTCGTAGACAGAGTGCAATGGATAGTCACATTTTCCTGTCTGCTCTAAGTGCTAGGGCCACAGGCACTTTTCTGAGTAACATTAGTGAGATATGATTTATACTTGATCACATGCACCCAGCTGAAATTTACAACTAATATTTAGCAAACTTAGCAAATTATGGCAGTTTCTACCACAGTCCAGTTTTAGAATATTTTCTTTATTTTGTAAGTTAAAACAGAGGCTTCTCCTCTTCCCTTCCACAAGTATTTCCTGAGCAGCTCTGTACTAGGTTACAGGGGCTAGGACTACACTAACTGGGCAGGGGAGTTACCCACCCTCTTCCCACCCATCCCCTACCCCCACCCCAGCAGCTCACATTCTAGGAGCAGAGCCCTGCAGTGAGCAAGGAAACAAAAACCCGAAGAAGATGAACCAGGGTGAAAGAATGAATATTAGCTTCGGCTAAACTGTCAAGAAGTTTTAAATACTGAAACTTGCTACTCTTATAAATTTTAAAATGTTCTAAAATTGTCTTTAGATGACAAGGGAAGTGAGAGAGTGAAAGAATAAGTGGGGGTGAAAAAGAAGGGAAAAAGCAGAGGTATAGAGGGTCTGCAAAAGCGGAAAGCTGAGTCAGATGGGAAAGGGTGGGCCTCTCAGTCTCTGTGATCCTTCATTGCCTTCACTTCATGTGAGGAACGACTGAAAGACAGGTGTGGTTTACAGAGCAGGCCTTTTTCCTGACCCTGCTCTGTGTAGAGGAAGGTCATGACATGGGTTCCTCTGTAGTCGGAAATAATTCTCACTGCTTGTGAGCCCCCTCCCTGTCTTCTGGAGCCCTTGCAGCTCGAACCTCAGAAAAAAAGTGCTTCCAGTTGTAGTCACGCCTTAACATATGTACAGTAAGAAGCTGAGTCTGAATGCCTCTCGGGCTGTTTTCTCTCCTGTTTAGCCACATGAAATGAAGGTCACATCTGCCTATCTCCAGGATATCGAGGATGCCTACAAGAAAACCTTCCTCCCAAAGATGAGGTAAACCCAGCACAGCACTCTCATGTAAGACTCGACTACCTGGCAAAGACTGGGCTGACAGCCTTGAATGCTTTCTGTCCCATTAACTGCCTCCCTTCGCTGCAGAGCCAACAGGGCCTTTTTACTTTAGGTTTTGTGAATTTGTTTGGGTGAGGTTTTTTAAATGCTTTTCCCCCCGCCTGTTATATCCTTAAATTTCTTGATGCTAAAAATAGACATATGCTCAAGTCCATGTCAAATTTTAGCATTAGAGGTTTGTGTATTCTTGTTCAGATAGCAGCTAGATTTCTAGAAAAATTGCTTGAAACATTCAGCATACCCGTGGAGGAAATCCACGAATACACAGCGCAGAGGTCCTTTTAGTTGGCGTCCTTCAGCAGTGTCAGGGATAGCAGCACCAGGCTGGTCTTCTTGTAGCTATGTTGAAGCATGAGGAGAGTGTGCTTTCTTCACTCCACACGGTTCCCAGGTCCTTGTGTATTGTGTGTGAGGGAAGGCTTAGACTGATACTGAAAATTTTAATTTTTAATTTAGTTGCTTAAATTCTTGAAGTAATTAAAATTGTGACTACAAACAAAGTGAGTGATTTTTGCCTCCTGCAGACGTGCTGTGTCGGCCTGAAAACCAGGATACCCCGGTCACAGACTGTGGGGGCATGCTTGTGTTTGAGCAGGGGTCTCTAGTGGCTACTGGGCATTTGCACAGACCTTCTAACTGGAAGTGCTGACCTGCGCCTCTTGTTCTATCTTGCAGTGAGATCTGTGAGGTTTTGGTATACAGTGACTGGGAAGCTGAAGACTCAACCAAGGTGGGTGATGCTAGCCAGTGTCAGATGCTCTTAAGCTAGATGCACAGGGTTCCCCAGACCACATGACTAACGTGATTTCTGCTAGTTATAGGAGCATTGGGAAGAATCCACTTGAACCACCTTCCTAGTCACCCTCACTGTGCTATGACGTTTTTGACTTAAAAAAAAACAACAACAAAAAAAAATCTTTGTTTGTATGATCTTAAAATCATAGATGGCAAAGATACAGAATGCTGTGGGCATGTATCACAAAACATGACAGAACCTTGCGTTAGTTCAGAGGAAACTTAGTCATTTAGAGAGAACTGTTTTTTGTTGTTGTTATTTTTTGTTTGTTTTTGTTTTTTTTTTTAAGTTTGTATTTTGTGAAATTCCATTTAGTCTTAATGGAGTTTTCAGGGGACTTAATGAGTAACAACCAAGAGAATTCTGAAAAGGAGTAATTCAGGACATCTGTTCTCCCAAGCACATGCATGAAAAGGAAGCACTGTGTCAAGAAGTAGCAGATCACCCAGTTACTGTGAGTGTGTTTTGTTCACCAGACTCCAGAAACAGCACAGACAGTCTTATTTTAGCAAAGAGTTTCTTAAAGATAATAATAATAATGTGAAATCAGAGGGAAAGGTCATTTCTTAAGTGCTATTAAGGTAAATATCCATTTGGTGAAAAAAAGAAAAGAAACAGAAAGAAACAGAAGTTCAAGGCCAGCCTGAGCTATATAGTGAATTCAAGACCAGCCTGGGATGCATAATGAGACCCTGTTAATATCAACAAAAACTAACAGTAGCCCTCCCACAGGAGTTCTGCTTATTCATTGTATCTAAAGTGTCAGTTACCAGCAAACAGGCCTGGCACAGTGAGGCATGTTTGTAATACCAGCACTTGGGAAGCAGAGGTCTACATAGTGAATTCTAGACTAGCGGGGCTACCTAGCAAGATCCTATTTTACAAAGAAATGAAGGTCAGGAAGGGGTTAGTAAACAATAATAACCATAGAAATTCAAGACTTAAGTGTCAGCTCAGGCTCCTCTGACCTGCAGAAGGATCCTGCAGAGCAGGTGGCTGTGAGCAGCCTGCGTGCTTGGTTCCTCTCTGTACAGAGGGGCAAGGGGAGGGGACCTGGTGAGCTCTCCACTAGGAAACAGCATTCTGCTTTCAGAGGAGCCTGTGTTCCAGTGTGGCTCTGCTGCTTTCTGCTTTAAGCATGCTTTTGAGTTCCTGGCTTGTCCTACTTGGACTGAAAGGCCAGTTTCATTATCTTCCTGGACCATTGCCAACTTGTTCACATTCAGTTTCTTTTATATCTTTTGATTGGTGATTAGACTTATATTTAGATGGTATATATCTTAAAATAATAAACCTCGGACCTTTGAGTAAGGTTCGAGCTGGGTGTGTTTTGGAAGAGCATTGAGCGTGAGAAGATTGCCTCTCTGAAGGGCAGGACTGGAGGCCTGGGCTCTCCAGGACTATGTTGGTGTTCAGTTCCTCTGCTTCTCTGTGTGACTGGCTTTCCTTGCAGAAAGAACTCATTTGTGAAGATAAGGGTAGTCTGTCCTTAATGTGGCTTTCTATCTAGTCTTACTTTTCTTCCAGTCTTCAGGGCAGTTCCTGTCGCCTTGGTACTTTGGAGTGTTGATGAGGCTTGATCATGCTGAGCATCACTCAGGCCCCACCATTTTGTTCTTCTTGTCTTTTATGTTACAATTCTGCCAAGAGTTTGCAACTTGCAATGTTCCCTCATTCACAATTCTAAACAGGGGGTTCTGCTTCTATTGTTTTAGGTGGTAGAGGACATTGAATACCTTAACTACGACAAGGGGCCTTGGCTTCAACAGGACGATCGTACCTTTCACTACCTGCGGATGCTGTGAGTCACTGGGGGCCTGTTGGGGCAGAAACAAACTGCTCTGTGGTGTACTCTACGGGGGTCTGCTGCATGCGGTAGAAGTATGCAAATGTTAAATAATTTAGTTGTCAACTGCACCAGCCAGTACTGGGGTATTTACCCTTTTCCTTTCTGAGCAACTCTTGAATTCTCTGAACTCGGTACTTAGTTGTTTGCCTTGATTAATTCCACCATTATTTTGCTTCTTTCCTGTACCGGACTTCGTTCTACTTTGAAAAACTTTAGGATCAAATAAAATTTCTGCTCTCAGCAGAGACACATTTTAATGGGAGATGCACACAAACAAGGGCATGGAACTCTTGAGCTTTCAAGGCCACTCCCAATTCTAACTCCTGGTAAGCTTCAGACAGAGGGCTAAGTCCCACTTCCCTTAGTCTTCATCATGCAAAGGCCTACACACCTTGGTTATTCCGCCCCTGTCGCTCACCTTCCAGGACTTGTGCATCCTTCTCTCCTGTTAAGAACACTGGGAGCCCTTTCCTGCCACATTCACAGCAAAGCACACGCTACTACAGCAATAATAACCTCAGGGAACTTTCCAGCGAACTGCAACACTATAGAGAACCTTAAGTTTCTGAGATACCAGAGGCTCCCTGAGTTAGGCTCTCTGTCATAACAAAGCCCTGGTTCTCTCACTTTCTCTCTAGTCCTGCTTTTCCTGCAGCCTGCACATCAGATAAGGAATATCCTTAATTTTGCTCAGGTAAAATCGTTTCAGAATTTTGTTGAGGTTCCCTTGTCTCACATACAGTTCAGGAGTGTGTTCTTTGGTGTGGTCTCTGGGGTCCCCCCTGCCATCCTACTGCAGTGTGATCTGCAGAATTCTGCCTATCTCCTTCTCTGCTCTCTTCAGGGGTCTTACATGCTCCATTGAGCAGTGTGGGTTCCGTTCTGGGACAGACAGGGAGTGCTGAACCTGTCCTGTGGTAACCTTGGTCGCCTGGTCGTCTGTGTCCTCTGTTGGACTGTCAGTTCTGAAAGAGGGGTAAAGCTCAAGCAGTGACCACTCTCCTGGAACTCCATTGAGTCCTGTTTATTTTTGCCTTGTGTTTTGATTCTTGTTGTTAAGTACATCTTCTAATTAGATAATGCTGTCTGTATGTACCTGATATTTTTCCTTTGTTCTGAAATTTGCTCTGACTGAAGATACTTTTGCTCTCAGTTAGCATAGTCATGATATCTTTTTGTCTATTCTTTTATTTTTAAATTTTCTCAGCTTTAAATCACTTTCTTACACAGCAAATAGTTAGGTTTTGTTTTTTCATGTTGTCTGACAGTTGTGTCTTCTGTGTTTAGATCTTTGAACATTCAAGTCAGCAGTGATACTGGAATTCACTTCTCCATGGTTTGTGTTTTTACTTGTTACATTGTTTTCTCCTCATCCCTGAATTTAACTGATCATTTAGTGAAACTCTACCTTTGGATTAGCATTTCATATTTTAGGAAAAAGCCCACATTTTCTGTTGCTGTCATTCCCAGCTCGTCTGTGTCCACTGCTGTCCTACAGGAGGGCAGGTGGCTGACAGCAGGGTGTGCCCTCTGTCTCTTACTGCATTGCTGGCATCATTCCACTCTCCTGCAAGCTGTAATTGTATATTGTAACTGTCATCTAAGAAATGTGCAGTTACCCTACTTTAGCCACACATCAGCGAAGTTGTTGTTGTTGTTTTTCTTTCTTTCTTTTTTTTTGACTACGGAGTATGTGAAGACTTTCCCTCCTTGTTATTCTTTAAGCATTGTGTGTGACAGCTGTGTCCGTAGTGGGGAGTGCTGAAAGTGTGTGGCAGGAAACATGGAGGTTGTGTGACAGCACTGTGCTTCTCTGTCCTCAGAGTTTGCTTTCCACAGAGTCCCCGGAGATACACCTGTCAGTCACACATCTGGGCATTTCTCCTCCCAAGGAAAATAGACAGCCATGTGCACTGCCCATACTTGTGCTCACTGTGAAGATTTTTCTTCAGTGTCCTTCAGGGTTCTCCAGGAGGTGGTATGTGCTTCGAATCAGCATTCACTATATGGTACTGCTTCTCCTATAGCCAGTCTAAGTACCAGCGGGTGGAAGTAGGAATGGTTCCATTCAGTGTCACTCCTAGTATCCCAGCAGGAACTTGTTTTGCATCCTGACCCTATGGTCTTATGTCCTGCTGTCCTAGAAGCTTGGGTACTATAAGGTGGGCTGTTGCTCTGAGGGACTTGACTGTGTTCTGTTTGCTTTATTTTGAGGAACATGGAAGGTTTTGATGCTGTGGACTAGTAAGGCAACTGAATTTTGTAAGCAGGACTTAACGGACTGTTCAATAGGAATTTGGAAGTCGATAGCACTGAGGCTAATACAGACAATAGATGGCTCGTGGGGTTCAGAGGAAGTAGAGATTTTACCAAGAACCAGACTGTCGCATCTTAGCGAAGAATCTGGCTGCCCTCTGCCTTGTCCTGAACTCGTGCCTGACATTAAGTAATCTCTCTGGCAGAGGAAATTTCAAGACTATATAACATTGACTCTGTGATACGGTTATTATTGATACCCATATATAGTTCTGCCTTGAAAAAGAGTAAGTGGGACAGAAAGAAATAGAACATACATAATTTGGAGAAGAAAACACTATGAAGTTTAATGTTTACAGCAAGGTAGCTCTTCCAAGAGAGGCTTTAATTGTTTAAAGAGATTTGCATAGTTAAAGGAGAGCCCACCTGGTCTTCATTGGAGGAATGAGATGCTCAGAAGACGACCCCCACCCAGCTGAGTTTCCACCGTATGAGGAAGGGTGAGTGCTTTCTCCTCTAGAAAGCTTCAATATATCAGTGTGGCCAAAGGCCAAAAGGGATCATCCCAAGCTGGCACCTGAACTTGGCAGTGTTATCTAAATGGTATTGGCTCTATAGGCGTGAACTATGCAAGAACTGAGGGGTAGGAATTCTTCTTCCATGGCTCCAGGGTACTGTGAGTGCAGGCAGTGTGTGGCGGGAGAGGCCCTGCATGAAGGCTGTCCCTAAGAGCGGGGGAGGCCATCGAAGATTATTGCATGAAGCTGGAAGAGTAAGCTTGCTTTGCAGTGGAGACCCCGAATGCTGGAGATACCAGAGCCATTGAATGTCTGTCAGAAAGAGCTACATGCAAGAAATAGAACCAGCCCAAGAGATATATGTCTATTGGAGGCAGCAAAGCTAGAAGGGCAGAGACATTTAAGCCCTTGAAAACTAAAGTTCTAGACGTCTGACATGGAGTTACAGGATCTGGAGTTTGCTCAGCTAGGTTTCGGCCGAATATTGCTTTGGTCAGTACTTTCTCATATGCCTCCATTCCTCCCTTTTGGAATGGAAATGTGTATTCTGTGCCATTGTGTTTTGTGAGGATGTGATTTGCTTGTTGATTTTACAAGTCACAGTCAAAAAATTGTCCCAAGTATCAGAAGAGACTATAATTTTGAAAAGTGTTCAAGTTAAAACTGAAAGACTACAGGGACTTTCAAAGTAGCTAAATGTATTCTGCATTTGATGTGACTGGGAGCCTGGGGCCAGGGAGTAGAGTGTGATTTGAATGAGAAATATCTCAGTAGATTCTAAGTATTTGAACCCTTAGTGCCCAGTTGGTGGTGCTGTTTGGTGCTGAACCTTCAGGAGATCTGGAGGAAGTACCCCACTAAGATAAGGCTTTTAGGGTTCAGCGCTTCCCAGTTTGCTCTCTGCTACTTGTTTGTGGTTGAAGGTGTGATCTGTCGGCTCCGTGCTCCAGCTGACTTCTGCTATGCCTCCCCACCATCATGGGCTCTCCCTCTGTAACTGTAAGCCCAAATAACCTCTTTTCTTAAGTTGTTTTCAGTCATGCTGTTTTTATTACAGTGTCAGAAAAGTGGCTAAAGCGCCCCCCTTTTTAAAACATTGCTGTCTGTACCGTGTATGTGTGCTGTGCGCTGTGTACGTGTATGTTGTCTGTGCCGTCAGGTGTGCTGCGCACTGTGTACTTGGATGTGAGTGAGTTTACCTTCGTGACATCCACTTTCTGTTTCTAACTTTGCTTGACAAGCTCTCGTCACTGTGTCACCTCTGACCTTCACTCTGAAATCCTGTTTGCTACCGTGTGACAACACCATCAGGAGGGTGTACAGCAAAGTGCTCTCTACTCCATGGAATGCCTGTTTTTCGGGTGAGGAGACCCAGCTCAAAGGCCATGTGGCTGCAGTTCATGTGAGGGCTGTGTGAAGAATCTGGTTTTGGTTTTGTTTGCTTGCTTGTTTTTAACTCTTAGAAGAGGAGCTGCTGCGGTGCTCTGCGCCTGTGGCCACCTTGCCCTGCTCTGTGGTATGCTTGGGGTTGAGTCTGAGGCTATAGTACTAAGCTGGGCCCCTCCTTTTCATGCCAGCCCTCACTTCTCCCTACAATCCACTCTGAATGCTGATGTACGCCATTGTGGTTTCTCTCCTGTCCCTGTTTCTCTCTGCCGTGGTGTGTTGATGCTCTCATTTTGGATCTCTGTTTCTGGTCAGTTACTAATTGCCCTCCCTGTTTTCCACTACACCTCCAGAGGGTAGTTTGCTTTGTTTGTTTTTAGGTTAAGAGTGTTCCTGTCTCCCCTTTATGCAGAGTGCTCCCAAGTACCGACATTTCTGTTCCTGTGGCCTCTGCCCGGGTCCAGCACCTAGTGATTATCTGGATTCCTGCGTGAACTTGGTTTCTTAACAGCCTGCATAGTCACCACTGCCTTATTAGCGTCCCAACACCTCCTCTTGATGCTGTGGGTCTGTCACAAATGCCTTGTCATCCTTGCTTGTTAGGATCAGTTACTCCTGGGCAGAGAATCTGAGCTCACAGGTAGGAAGAGAGGACTCTCTGAAATCCAGAGAGAGTTGCTGAGACTGAGGAGTATGTCTGGCTTTTGACCTCCCACAGATAATACCATGTCATTTTCTAAATGTCATCTGAAACACGTGTTGATCTGACCCATGCTTAAAAATCATAATTTTGATAATTACTTAGTTATATGGTTATCAGAGTATAGAGCTGTGTCCTATAATTTTCCCAGAGCTTGTGAGTTACAACATCGAATTAATTGCTTTTATTTCATTTACTGTGGCTTTGTCCTTTCCCTGTCTTATGTCCTCTCCTCAGTTTCATAACAGTTTTCAGTGGTAATTGTGTTGCTTTTAATTTCTTGAGTGAAAATTATTATCTGTTTTCTGAGACAATTACTGTAAACGTAATTGTCAGTTATGTTCATTTGGACCAGAACCAATTATTGCGTTGGGACGTTTCTACTTAATTTCAGGTGCATTTGTCAGTGCATCCCCCCTCTGCCCACCCTCCCAGCTTCCACAGAGCCCCGCTGCTGCTCATGAGGCTCGCTGCAGCTGCGAGGACCCACTCCCACACAGAGATCTAGTCCTGTGGGACACATGCAAGCTCTCCGCATGGTTTCAGGCAGTGCTCCAGGAGGAAGTAAAAACAGGCTGTAGAGGTGGGGAGAAAGTGTCTTTTCTCCTGTTGGAGAAATCTTCAGTAGTAAAACCTCAAAAGTAAAAACCTTTTGCTGTTCTTCTCTTTCCTGTTGTCTTGCCTCAACCTCTGTAAAAAGCTATCTGTCCATTGTATTTAGACCAGACTGTGATCATCACATCATAGTTGGACACTGGTGTGACAGGTACCTTGTTCTCAGCTGGGGTTTTTCCATCTGTAGAATTGAACCAAGTATTTATTCTGTGAACAGAACTCCTTAGCTACTCTTTGTGTTCTGAGTCATAAAAGCTTCCTTGCGCCTGCACTTTTTAATTAGGTCTGATGAGGGATGTTATCTCTAGCCTGTCTGAGAAGTATTTACTGGAGTTGTGGTGTAGCTGTCCTCCAGGTGTAAGTAAGGTACAGAATAGAGCAATGGATTATTTTTAAAGTTTTCTTGTTCTTTTTTTGGGAGGCGGGGGTGTAAATTGTAATTTTGGCAAATTAAACATAGATGGCGCTGTTGTTCTGTACTTCACATACTGCCGGGACCCGAAGTTCTCTATTTTCCAGCGTTTTCTAAGAATTTTCAGCTATAGAGAACAGCAGACACCTCCCTACTGATATTTGTTAACATTTACCACCTACTTCATTTTTAGTTGAAATATTTGTTACCACAGTAACAAAATTAAACAGTGGCAGGTACTGCACAATTGTGTGTGTTACAGTAGAGAGCTGTGTGCGCACACTGCGGCAGAGTCAGGAAGAGAGTGTGAGGAGGTGTGAGCGGGGGGCTGTGGAGAAAGTGCTAGAAGGTCATGCTCAAGATGGGCATTTTACCTAACAGCTAAACAAAGCAAGCTTACGGAACACAGCTACTTCATGTTCTTTACCATTTGCATGCTTGAATTATTTTTAAATGTTTTCATATCTTTTGCCAGAGAAAACCAACTGGATAGGAAAGCTAAGAAAAGCAATTTTAATCTTTACTGGGTCCAGTATGTCTATCTACCTAAACAAGTGCAAACCCACATGAGAGGACAGGCAGGCACATCTGTTGCTTGGGGTGGGGTTGTGAGAACGATGCCTTTGTGCAATTGTATAAACAGTCTCACATCAGCAGAATGAAATGGTAAAGCAAAGGGAGAAGCCTGCAGTTGCTATTATTAGTACCAGAAATGAAGCTGACCCTTGAGAAGTGTGGCGCCACGTGCTACCTAGTGGGTTCTGTGTGGCACTGTCCCTCTCTCTTTATGCAATTTCGCCTGCCTCCCCCACTGGTATTAATGTTACATATTCTTAGTGAGGCATCGTGTGCATTCCATTGTACCTACCATCTGCTGGCAGCGTTCTCTCTGCTGTTGGGTGTGAAGCACACCTTGGCTCCATTCTCTCATTCCCAAAGTATTCATCCAGAGCCCACTATCTGACGGCACCAGGGCTTCACAAAACTCCCTCAGTTCTGGATCTGATTCAGCAGAGCGGCCACATGGCCCCAGTAATCTTTGAGAGAGGGGGTGCTTTGAAGATACCTGCTTGTGAACAGCATTTACCTTAGGGTTTTGTTTTCTTAAGATTTATTTACGTTTACTTTATGTGTCTTGGTATTTTGCCTGCATATGTCTGTGTGAAGGTGACAGATCCCCTGGAGCTGAAGTTACAGACAGTTGTGAGCTGCGATGCAGGCCCTGGGAATTGAACCTGGGTCCTCTGGAAGAGCCAGTCCTCTTAACTCTTGAGCCCTTTCTCTAGCCCATATCTTAGGGTTTTTTAATATGAATATGTGAAGAGTCAAATGCAGTATTTGCCTAATGGTACCTATTTTGGTGGCTGTTATAATCCATGTTTGTCTTACTTTTCAGGGTTCAGGATAAGATAGAAGTGCTGAATTTCACAGCTGTCCCTATCTACCTCCCAGAAATCACTATTGGAGCTCACCAGGGTACTCGGATCTATGACAGCTTCAGAGAGGTGAGTCCTACCATTGGGTACTTGTGGCCTCTAAGCCACCTCTGTGAAGAATGGATCTTCTAAAGTCCCCCTCATTTCTAGTCATAAAGCAGTGAGGCCTCAAACATGTTCTGGAGCCAGTGTCATTTACAGGTGCATTTTCTTGGTGGACACATGTACTCCATTCTTTAGCTGCGATCTCCAATTCTTCACAGCTGTATCTCATAGACAGCCGTACTCTTCACAGGGCATCTCTAAGGCTTACATTGGTGAGGTCTTACAAATGTGAGGCTTACATTTCAATGGAATGTCCTCCAACCAAGTGGCACAATGCAGCGAGGATGGCAGAGCTCAGGGCAGACGGTGAAGACATCCGTTAGCACCCACGCATGCCTTTCTCTAATTTACACATCTTCATGAGTCATTTGTTCCTCCATTGGGGTGCAGAGTCTAGGGAGCAGGGGCCTAACAAGAGCAGGAGCCTGCACCAAGCAGCAGCATGGAATGGGAAGAGTGGTCTTCTGCCCATGGTCCGCTGTGCCCTGTTGGTTATTGGGAAGTGTGAAATCAGTGCACTGACGTGAACACATGTGGGTCTTCATCCGGGAGCCGTGCCTGTGCTCCTGTCGCTTGAGCGGGAGAGGCTGCAGACCAGAGGCAGTGATTGATGGTTCCTGAGTGTGCTTTGCAGACCTGTAACTTCCTTACACCAAGGCCAAGGTGGCTCCTCGCCATGGTCTATGTCTGGATTGGCATCATCTTAGCTCAGTGGGACGGCTGCTCACCGTTGCCTCCAGGTCCACAGGCTCCTTGCCTCCCTGTGCCATGCAGAAGCACGGTCAGCTTGCCTGCTGTCTGCTGTCACAAGAGGATCCAGTGCGCTGCTGCACCTGTGCCCCTCGGTTCTGTGAGCGCCTGCCTCACTGGAGGCATGGGGTGCTATTAGCTAAGTTAGTGCGCTCCCCGTAAACAAGGTACTTACACACAGGAAGTGCCCTTACTTACAGAGCTGCCTTCAGGTTTGCTCTGGTTAATGTTGCCTACAGCACCTTAGACTTTCTTCAGCGAGTATTTGCATGGGATGGGTACTTTTCTAATTCTTTTCATGCCAGCCTCTCCAGTTACAAGGTATTAAAAAAAAAAAAAAAAACTCTTGGAATATTTATATTGGAAGACTTAAATGGGGATTAGGATTTTTGTTTTTGTTTTTTCCTGGCTTTCATTTATTTCCTTCTATTAAATGACTGTTTATCATTCTGTTACTAGTCAATCACTATAGTGATTAACCTGGTAATTAAAGTGGTCATCTTTGCTGTATTTGAGTCTAATATCAGTAGTTTTCCAGTTGCAGCAGTGTGAAGTCATGGACTGTGTTGAGCCCTGTTTGCCCAACTCCTCCTGTGGGCTGTGATGATGTGTTTTAATTCCGTCAAGACATGGGGACTGTAGAGACAATTGATTCAGGATAGGTCTACACCACCCTGAGACTTACCCTGCTGTGGCCCAGATATTTTTGTGGCTCTGCTCTGGAAATGTTCTTAGATCAAGACAAGAGGGGCTGGAGAGATGGTTCAGCATTTAAGAGCATGTCCTATGTTGTGGAGGACCTAGGTTCAGTTCTTAGCCTCCTCAGGTGGCTCATATCTGTGCCTTCCTCATGTCTTTGCTGGCACCAAGGTACATAAACATACATGCAGGCAAAACACTCACAGACACAAAATAAGAATTAATAAACCTTAAAAATGACAAGAAAAAGCCAGGCATGATTGCGTATAGTCCCAGCATTTGGAGATAGTCACAGGAGGATCAGGAATTCAGGGTAATCTTCAGCTCTACAGTGAGTTCAAGGCCAACCAGAAAAAAAAAAAATAATAGGAAAAAAAATAACCTTTTCTGATCCAGCTGAGATCACTGTAGTGCCCTTTTATTATCATATATCATCAAACTCTTTGAGCACCATTCTTCTTACTTGTGTGGTCTCTGTGCCTTATCTAGGGTGCGTGCTCAGGCATTAAGAATACAACACTAGGCCTGTTGGATGACACCCTAACATGGACTGTGGAATTATCTTCTGTTGAGTCTTCAAGTCCACTGTAATGACCATTAAGATTTGGGACAGTCCACTTGAAGATGGCATTCTTATGGACACGATGCCACAAGACCCCACTGTACCTGGCAATCTGTATAAGAGAGGGTTTACATGCTGCTGCTAACCATATACCAATTGAGGGACGTCAGAGACCCAGCCTGGATGGCAGGTTATATCTGATAGCTTTGTCTCCAGTCCTGGCCTTTACATTTCCTCAGTATTTAAGAACTTGATACTTCAAAACTTTTGGAGACTACAAAGTGCTTACTTGTTGAATATCCCCCAGTCTGCTTTGTTGGATGTAGATTCAAACCATGGTTTTTTGTGGAGGGACTGTCAAAGAACTCATTTCAACTTCCTGAGCAGTATATGACTTTCATTGGCCCTGTCATTGTTTAGATTTACTTTGATCATTTGACTAAATATGATGTGACTCTTTCATTCTTCAAATGTAGACATCACTGGGGGCATTTGAGACTGCTAGCATATGCTCTTCTGTCAGATTTTCACGCCAGAGTTTTGGCATCCATTGATTTAACTACTTAGTTATCACTTTGATGGCTTCCCAGCTGTTCTTTTTCTGTCATCCTTTTCACACCTTCAGTGTCTGCTATATAAGGAAATACTCTCCCTTGTATATGAATCGTTTGTATGTTTATCTATATATGTTGAAAATCATGAGTTCATAGCAGTGTCAGGTTTCTGCTACCTCCACAGGGCTGTGTGGTGACTGTTCAGTCCTTCTTCCAGTCTCCCTGTTGGCACCTACAGGACTGATGTTGTGAGCAGCCTTGTCTGCTCCTCTGTTGACCTACACAGTTACTGTGGTGTGCCTCAAACCCCACCCATGTCTGTCACCATGGGAGTCAGAAGCCTTATTCAGCTTTATAGAAAGCTTTAGGTCAAACTTGGAAGGAAGAGAGACTATCTTCATTCTTGAGAATAATTTGCATAGGCAGAGAATTCTGAATTTCCGGCTTATTTTTCTTTCAGCCAATCCAAATTCAGCATCTTAGGCTTTGGTTTCTTCTGTTTCTTTTCTCTCTGATGGGTTTGGTTTTTATCTGGTTTCTGATGTGGTCTTGAACTTTGCCAAGACTGTGTACCTAGGGCCTAGGCCATGTGCCTTTTTCATCACTTGGCTTAGGGTTCATGAAGCCCTTTGACTCCTTAGCAACTCTCCATAGTCAGTGCCAGAGGCAGTGCTGTTCCACCGGGATCATGCTTGGATTGTCACTGCTCATTTCAAAAGATTTCTATTAGTTGCTTTTCTTTTGTACTGCAACTAAAAAGTTGACAAAAAACAGCATCGGGGAAGAATTACTTATTTTTCTGAGGGTTTCAGGGCAGGCCATCCAGGCACTGAAGATGAGGTAAGGAAACAGGAGCTAATGTCATAGCATTTAAGAAGCTGAGGAAGGAGCAGAACAGATATCACCCCCAAGATTGCTCCCAATGGTCACTTCTTCCAGCTTCCCCAACTCTTCCTTCTTACCACCTACCAAGCATCTTAACCATACTATGTATCTATCCTGGGATCAGTCCACTTACAGATCAGAACCCTTATGCTCTCCATGTCTCTGAAAAGGGGTACACCCAACAATGTAAACTATTGTCTTCTAGGTCATTCCCAATCCAGATTAATTATCGCACTTCCACTCTTTGACCTGACACCCAAATACAACTGTAAGCATATATTAAACTTCAGCCTCCCATCTGCACGCATGCTTATCAGTACTTCTTTCATCACTTAATTCTGCATGACGCCACAGGTCTGGCTATGGAGAGCTGGAGGTTATCTCTGCATACATGGCCTCTGTACACAGAGCAGTTTGTCTCCAGCAAAATCTTTGACGTCTGTTAGCAGCTCCCTTCAGAGGGGCCTTGTCAAGTGAAATGGGTCTCACAAATTTTAAAGGTGGTATCTGTGGGACCATGTAACTATCACCATTGGGTACATACCCAAAGACAGTAACTTCCAGAATCTGTCGGTAGCCAAAAGTTCAGAAGCTGGATGGGGTCCCATGAGTCCCTCCCGTGTCTGTGGTTGACTATTGACAGGCTTTCTCTCATACAGGCAAAGTGTAGACAACCACAGGTGCTGTGAGATGATGTTTTTGGTGGCAGTCAAGCCCTGAAGATAACTTTTTTGCAGCCCCTTTTTCTTTCCTTCTACTTTACATTCTCTGGGTTCCCTCTTCCATGGTGTTGTCTAACTAAGGCTTAGAGGAGAAGTATAAATGCCCTTTTTAGGAATGAGCACTCAACTATCATTTGTGTTTAGTACCTTGAGCAGCCATGACTCTCTGCATTCATTGCTATTCACTGATAGAGAATGAGTCGATAGTGGCGTTTATTTGTGAGTATAAATCTGAAGTATTTAGAAGGCAGTTTGGTCTGATATTAGACAACAGTAGTAAGTTCCCCTCAGACTTAGTCCCCGCCATAGTCTGGGAGCAGAGGTTTGTATGACAGGCATGTATTGCCTCCTGTGAAGCAGGCCTAGATCTAATACAGGAGTTGTTGCTTACCCATGATAGTAGTGTCACCGTTGCACTTGAGGTACGTCTTGTCTCACAGAACGGCTTTCTAGTTTGTCGGGTCCACAGCTGGGTAAGATGACTGATGCCCTTCTCACTCTTTAGCCTGCATAGCACCTTGTAAGCACTGTGAGAGCTTTCTAGCAGGGAAGAAACAACCGGCTTGATTCCTCTGTATCTTGTAACTAAGGTACATGGTGTCTTATCATTTACCAAGAAAGAATGCTGAGAATCTATATTGGGGCCTCTATGACCAATGGCTTATAAGGAGAGATTTTGCATTTGCCATTAGATTTTTTTTTTTTTTTTTTTTTTTTTTTTTAAGAAACAACCTGTGGAAAAGTAGAAAATATCTGGGCTGGAGAGATGGCTCAGTGGTGAAGAGCGCTGGC